AATTACATTAACCCTTTCGCTGCCACGGGAATTTTTGAACTTGCACCAGTGGGCCACAGTACAACTTTCATATTAATATTTGTATAATGGCAAAGAACTGCGAAGTATATTAAAATAACGATACAATCTTGCCAATGGCACATATTTCTTAGTGGTGGTCACCCGTGACGCAGTTTATCATTCTAACAAATTTCAGAAATGATTGAGGCAGGTAGAAAATATGTTTGAACGGTAATTTTGAATAATTTAGACAGTCTGTGAGTATTCCTCAAAGGAATTAGACTACAGAAATTTCCGATCAAATGATTGCATACAGCACACTTCTTAGAAAATCCACTAACAAGGAAGGTATCCCAGGTCGATCTCTCCGATTTGATTTCTTTTATAATATGTTATAGTAGACTAAAAACTAAGCGACACGTATTTTTTTATCTGCCATTAAACACTTTAAGGGGGTGAAACCACAATCCAAAGTAAGGCCTGTGAGGGGTGGCTCAAACCTCAATTTTTTTTTTTAATTGAGAAAATTTTATTTTCAATTTCTTGTTATGAGAAAGCTTTTCCCGGTGGATTGGTTAAAAAATATTACGTTTTTGTGGGTAAAACTGCCAAATCGTCTCTTGACATGTTAAGTATCTGGATGAGTTATAGACGCTGCAATTTTTTATTAGCAATGCGTGAGATAAATTTAGCTGTACATATGCGGACAAACATTGAGACATTGCATGTACTTAACTTTGTATTTAAGTATTCTTGGTTCGTCATTGTGTCCTGTAAATACGAGTTCCAAATGAGGACTTACAAGCGACACCCTCATGACTCGTTTCATGATCTTTTATGAGGCAAATCCTTATGCAAATTTTGCATTAATTTATCTATCTGCGTGAGCTACAAACGCTGCAATTGTTTATCGGCAATGACTGAGATAAATGTAGCTATACATATGCGGACAAACAATGAGACATTGCATGTACTTAAGTTTAATTCATATTTAAGTATTCCTCGTTCGTCATTGTGTCCCGCAGATATGAATTCCAAATGAGGACTCACAAGCGACACCCTCATGACTCATTTCATGATCTCTTATGTGGCAAATCTTATGCAAATTTTACAGGACTTGTCTATCTGGATTAGCTGTAATTTGCTGCAATTTTTTATTAGCAATGCGTGAAATAAATTTAGCTGTACATATGCGTCCAAACATCGAGACATTGCATATACTTCACTTTATTTCATATTTAAATATTTTTGGTTCGTTATTGTGTCCCGCAGATATGAGTTCCAAATGAGGACTCACAAGCGACACCCTCATGACTCATTTCATGATCTCTTATGTGGCAAATCCTTATGCAAATTTTACATCACTTCGTCTACCTGGGAAGAGTCAATAGATGAAACCAATATCTGTCGATACTTCTGGATGTATCAACAATCGATCGCGGGGTCTAAAGAGAATGCCGTCCAGGAAACGGGGGAGGGCGTGTACTTCTAGAAATAATTTTTCCGGTTTTTTTTCCGTCTTCCCCTCAACCTCCCTGGCCCCTGGGGTTCGACTGAAAAGCTGCAGCAGACCGTGGCGCAGATAGGATAATGACGTTACGTGCTGGTTATATGAAGAGACTGCATACGGGAGCTTGCGGGCACAGAGGGGTGCATTATGTGCACATAGACCCGAGCCGTACCACGGAAAAGGTTATGCGCGAGCCGGGTGGATTTAACACGGGCTACGTGTAAAACCACGTCGGCCTGGATTAACGTCTCTCCTCGAATTGGACCAAGAGCGGAAGCGCCTCCACTTGTTCAACTTTAACCCCTTCTTGACGAAAGACCCGATTAGTTACGCGCAATCTGCTTTCTGAACGTCGACGCGGCGTCTTGCGAGGACATCGGCTCTATCGAATGTTCACCTTTCAATCGATGTTTCGAACAATTTCTAGTACAAATGTGTACCAATACCGGCACTCGATATGAAAGCCCGAACTGTGTACTACGTTTCTGCGTGAACATTTCTACGGATTTATTCAACATTTGGAAGAAAATGGTTATTAATGTTGGAAAACGGTTGCACCCAGTTTGGAGAAAAGTCTTATAAATACTTTCACGTTTTGATATACACAATGACAATTTCATATCACCTTAATAGCTCTTACTTCCGTGACAATACATGCCTATAGTTTGAACTCTTGTTTAACCCTTTCGTTACGAGTGCTGACTTTAATCTGTAACAACTTCTGCCATATCTGCAGAGTATCTTTTGATCATACTGACCCATATTGGAGTAGTCATCCTAAAAGTACATTTTGAACATAGGTAACACAGTTTGGCCATCGAGATGAGACGAGAAGACCAGATATTGGAATAGCTTTTAATTTCTTGACAGTTTAAACGGTGTCGCGTTCATTGTCGGTTGTCTGGCGGAGCGGTCTGCCGTAATGAAAGGGTTAAAATTGGAAAATTGTCGCACCCAGTTCGGAGAAAAATTTTATAAATATTTTCACGTTTTGATATACAGAATGACAATTTAATATCACCTTAATAGCTCTTACTTCCATAACAGTACATGCCTATGGTTTGAATCCTATTTGTTTGAGGTGATACGAAAAAATTCTATATATCAAAACGTGAAATTATTCATAAATTTTTCTCCAAACTGGGTGCACCGAATCATTTGGAACGTTAACACGTGATTACGGAGGCCCTAAGGAAGAACGCGATGCTCATAAAATTTCATTAAAAAAAAAAAGATTTTTTTATTTAGCCTAGATTAAAACCAGAATCACATTTTATGAAAAGTGTCAAAATCCACGAGCATCACGTTTTTCCCAAGAGTCTTCATAATCACGCGTTAAAGTTTTAAATTATTCGGTGCACCCAGTTTGGAGAAGAGTTTCATTAATATTTTGAAATCTCATATATATATAGTGATCCTTTCATATCACCTTAATCTTATATAAAAAAAAAAATCCGATTGTTTAAAACGTCCACCGTGGTGCACCCCTTAATTGGTTTCTTTTTTCGTATTCTCTTCGAATTTCCTCGTTTCCCGGGAGCATTTTCCCGCAATCTTGCAATCAGCAACGTAGACGACAATTGTCTCCGCGCGATCTCGGGCTTAAGATAACTCGGCGTTCCCTTCGGCTGGCACAACGGAGGTTCTTAACATCTCGTAAAGTGTGACTCGAGTCGAGTGTTCTTACGAGGAAAACGGTGGATATTAAGCCGGTGCAAGTGAAGACTCAAACAGCCCGAGGGAGAGATTCCGAGCCGCGTTAATTTACCGGAGGGTCGCGAGCTTTCATCCCCTTCTCGTTACTTCGCCTTTCCTCCCTCTCCGAGTTTGCGGAGCCAGAATGACCGGAACCATTTAGGAAACCGATATTTCCCACGATTTCGATGATTGCCTCCCGGAAGGTGAAGGCCTCGTCAAGGGGATATGAAAATGGCGTCTGAGGCCTCTAATTAGTTATAAAATTCTTTTCTCTTAACTGGTTGCTCCAAATCGTTTAAAATCTCCTAACGTGACTATAGAGGTCCTAACGAAGGCCCTGATGCCCGAAATTTCATGCAATAATAAATTCTTTTCATTTACCCTAGTCTTGAATCAGCATGGCGTCGTCAACGTATATTTCATAAAATAATAAGGCTTTTCTATGAACTGGTTGCTCCAAATCGTTTAACCCTTATCAATGAAATCGGAAGTAACACTGCCTACTTTTTATACTCTTCCAATATTCTCGGAGTGATAAGGATTAAAACCGCCCAACGTGAATCTGGGTGTTTTATTTCTTCCTTATTTCAAATTCCGTTTATTTTTCCTCGGGTCTCTCCATGTCATCTAGCACCATTAATTCAGTAACGTATTATGCTCATAACTTAAATTGATGTATAAACAGAAACTCTAGCGCTTCGCTCTTTTATCTACTACCGCGGTCCTTTAGCCAATGATTTGCTTCCTTCTAGGAACTCCTGGTCCTATAGCCCATCTTTTTTATTCCCCACCTAAGCCTCCTTAAACAACATTAACTTTTCCCTTTCTCAGTACTCATTAACCAATCGCCTTCGATTATAAACCCCACTTTTATTTCACTATGCCTATCAGCGAACGCTTTGCAAAAAACTCCGCCCTAGAGGACAGCATTCGAAAACGCTTAACACTAGGTTTACGGGACCCGTCAATTTGACGAAATTCAAACTTCAAAAAGAAATACCGAAAAAACCATAGCATTAATTTTAACCATTTTTGTATCGTAAATTAATCATTTCATCCAAAGAATTTGTACACACAATTATTTTTTCCTAAGCCTTCTTATTATTAAAATCTGTATGTAGTATACCTATCTCTACGAAACCCGTCAAATTGACGGACTAGCTAATTTCATAAACAATCCATATATATTTGCTTCGTTGCAGGGAGTGTAAGGCGAAGATGAGAGTGAAAGTTTGCATTGAAAGTGGTGAAATAGAAGGATCTTTGGATAGTGAAGAGGAAAACTTCTTGAAAGGGTGTCGTAGCAAGAAAAGGCTGCGCATTATTTCTAGTTCTGACTCCGAGGATGAGAGGACGAGCATTCCAATCATTTCCGTGATAATTTTTAAAAAAGGACTTTTTACTTATTAATAATTTATTTAAACGTAAAGCCTAGGGTTGTTTAATACAGACTTAATTTGAATAAATCGATTTTTTTAAAGAAAATGCGTGTTTTCGTTTACCCGTCAATTTGACGGGTGCTCGTAGAAACAGGTATATAAAAAACGCCCGTAAACCTAGTGTTAAAAAAGGAGTCCTGGGCACAGTCAGAATCTTCTACAATCTCTGGCGGACTAACTTCAATCGCTTCGCACGCGACATTGCACTAGACTTAGTTAGATTTCCGCGCGTTATCGAACACATTGTACTTCAAGAACTTCAATTGTACACCTTCGAACATAAGCTCGGATCGTTAAAATAAATTGTTAAGTTCTTCAACGATCCAACAATCGCTTTTCTTTCTCTGTTACAGCGCTTTCCAGGAGTACATGGATTGTGTGCATCATTCGGTGCGCAAGCAATGCGGCGAGGAGGCAGGAAGTTTCTTCAAGGAGTTCTTCGACAGGATGTCGATCACGCTCATCAAGGTAAGCTCCATCGGATCTTCATCTGGATAACTTTTGTTCCCCTGAATAATAAATTCTATTAGGGTCAATTCGGGAGAATTCTTTAACGAAGTGAACATCAAAGAGATTAACCCGCGAGTTGCGGGATTCACATCCCCTATTGAAAACGATTTTGAAACCACGTTAAATAAATTCCCATTGGTTATTCCACTAGATGGTCGGAATTAGCTGAGGAATGCACGAAATCCAGGGATTCATAAATGATATTAATTTTGGAATATTGCCCCACGTAACGTTTCAGAGGCATCCTTTTACGCTGCATTTCTTGATAACGATTGAAAATCAGACACTGAACTCATTGACATCGTTTGTACAATTCGAATTCAAAATGGATAGTAGTTATTTATTAAATAACTTAAGGCGGATGTGAATCAGGTAACGGAGACAGTTATACATCGCAAATGATAATATAAATTACAAGATAAGAATATCTTTTTGAACCGTAAAGATGCGTCTTTAGATTCAAGCCAATTAATTTAAATACAAACAATAGTTACTTTGGAAAAATTCCCGAAAATTCCTAACTTTTTAAGCTACTGCTTAGCCAGATAGTCAAGAAATTCGACCAATGTCGTGACTATAGTTATCCGCAGGATCGAAAGGGTTCACGAGTTATTGCGAGTATAGTTGCCGCGTTACAGAGCATTTATCCAAGGAAAGTGTATCTGGCAAGGGATAAAGAGAGTATAGTTTTGGCAGATGTCCTTGTTTCATTCTAATCGACAAGCTGGGGATAATCGAAAATTCTCATGTTTGAAGACACAAGGTACACAAATAGACAGGTCGTATTTGTTTAGGGGACAAACGGAGGGAATGTCATAATAACTATAACCGGTGCACATCCATTCGAGTCGAGAGGGTTAAGATACTGTTTGTACCCTAAGGGCTATCGCTCACTGGAGACCGATAACACGACCAAAATTGCAATCACTGGTTGCCCGACAACCAGGAGTCATTACGATACGTTGTAAAGAACACTGAACGGTCAAGCAGTCGCTGCGGCCAACGATATTTGGCGCGACACGCATGCGACTATCGCTACTTCCAACGAGAAAAGTATCGCATATGTACCTCACCGATTTTGTCGGTTCTAATATATATTATAGTACATCGAAAAATAAGAGATACGTCTTTTTTTATACGCGCTAATTTGCGAATTTAAAGGGTGAAATCCGACTTAAAAAACGTACCTTAATACGCGCTAATTCGCGAGTGTACCTCATCGATTTTGTCGAATCTAATATATATTATAGTGCATCGAAAAATAAGAGACACGTATTTTTTTTATACGCGCTAATTCGCGAATTTAAAGGGTGAAATCCATCTTAAAAAAGGTTTTTTGGACAGTTCTTCCTGAACGGAATAATATTTCTCAACCGGACTAGCTGCAATTTTATCGGTTTCGCCCAGCAATTCCAAGGATACCTCAAATATAATTTCGTTTACTAGAAATTGTTCTTGGGGATCAATTTCTTTTTTTATACGAGCTAATTCGTCAGCATGGGATTGTCGTGACGTCCAACAAGAACAGTTTCTCGGGTGTACCTCACCGATTTTGTTGGTTCTAACATGTATTATAGTACATCGAAAAATAAGAGACACGTATTTTTTTTATACGCGCTAATTCGCGCGTTTAAAGGGTGACATGCACCCTCAAAGAAGGTTTTTCTGACATTTTTTCCCTGATCGGAGTAATATTTTTCGACCGGACCTGCAATTTTATTGGTTTCACCCAGCAATTCCAGCGACCCCTCAAATTTAATTCCGTTTACTAGAAAGTGTTTTTAAGGATCAACTTTCGGGTGGTTTTACCCCTTGGAACGTAAAATAATATGTGTTTCTCATTTTTCGATGCATTACAACATGTGAGAACTAACGAAATCGGTGAGCTCCCCCCTTGCAAGCATTTACATAAACGCAAATGGTGCGCCCCATGGGCGGTTGAAAGAGCGCGACCATTGTTCCCTCCGCGACGCGCGTTAACGCTAATTTCCTAACTAATTTTAGCAACGGAAAACTCCACCACTTCTGCTACCGAACTAACTCTTCATATCTGAAATTCAAATCCGTCCAGCGATGCTTTGTAATCCAACATCGAAAGCGTTCTTGGGAGCAACGGCTGCCATTCCCAAAGTGGTGTTGGTATCAATCGCGACCACGGTGGCCATTCCCAAAACCGTGGCGACCAACGGTTGCAACTCTGGCGTGTTATCCTTCGCTCGAAGAGTAAAGCGGTCCGGAAATCGTGGAATGGGAATAGCATAGGTTATTCCCAGGGCGTCCTCGTCTCGTCCTCGAATCGCTAGGGACCCCTCCAGGTATCGACGCGCTGATAAAAGCCCTCCTAATAACGAATTCCTTTGTTGCAGACGCACTGTCAGAAGTACCCGCGCTCGCAGTGCCTCCCAGGGAGCGGGAGCTCGCGGGTGGAGGGTCCGATGATCGTCGTGCCGTTGGTGGTGGTGATCCTAACGCGGTACTTCACGTAATGACCTCGTCGGGAGGGACAGGTGCAACCTTGCGTCCCGCGTTCGTGGAGGACGCTCGTGGACGTGGTGCCATCCGGAAGCGAGCCCGGGAGTGCGACCGGAAGTAAGCCCAGACGAGAACCTGGAAGTACAGCCGGAAGTGCGGCCGGACGTAAGCCCAGAAGTCAACCTGGAAGTACAGCCGGAAGCGCGCCCCGAGCCCGGCCCCGCGTTTCTTTCCTTCCCCTCCCGGGGAGTCCCGGAAGGCCCGCCGGAAAACGCCGGGAAATGGCTGGGAATATCCTCCCAGGGGATGGGAACGCGTCGGCCAGGCCGAGGGCCGCCCTAGAGGGAGTCGGAAGTCGATTTTCCGACGCCCCCGTGTAGAGAGACGTAGGTTAAGGACCGCCAGAGACGCTCTCCTTTGCTGCCGGGCAACCTCGCCGACGTTTTGCTTCCGAGCCGTTTCTTCGGGTCCGTGCACGGAAACGGTTCTGGAAATCTGCGAATTTCCGCCCCGGAGGGAGAGTCGTTTTGCGATCGAGGACCCTGCCCTCGGTGGGGGTTCCTTTCCGAGTACCGATCTCCGTGGTGTCTGGATTGCCGCTACTCCACGATGTGATGGGACCTAGGCGCTATTCACTCGGAAATCAGGGAAAACCATTTCCTTCTTTGAGAGCCCATTGCCTTTGATTTCATAAGACGGGTACACATCTGAGCACGAACGCGTATGAGCCAAAGCGAACATACGAGGGTGGACCAACGATCGAAGTACGGCAAACTGCTTTGGATCATTCGACACCCTGTTTAACACTAGAACTACCAAGATGGGTCAACATTACTTGTTTGAAATCCTACATAACTACCTACTACTACATTCTACATAAAAACAAATCTACCTATCGTTCCACTGTTAAAGCTGTTCGAATACTATTCGTCAAGATGTCCGTCCACTTCTTCGGACAATTGTCTTTGTGTCGCGTACACATCCGAGTACGAGACAATTGTGCTGCCCCATCTTGCCTTGTCCGCGTTCGTCTTCGGATGTGTACCCAAACTGTATGCTAAACAGCAGGGCGATTAAGCAACAAGCGACATTCGGCCTTAAAGTAGTGACAGTATTCGGTCACTTCCAACGATTTTCAGCTGGTATCCAAATCATTTCAACCGTTAAGATCCGATTTCCTGAGTGACTAACCCCTCGGACGTGACGATTCGAAGCGACAACGCGCCTCGAATTGTGAACACGTGGACCGATACCGTAATATGTGCGCATGCGCAGTAAACGGCGCATCTTTCGAAAGAAGCGGGATCACTTTGAAGCATTGCAGCTCCTTCGGCACATGCGCAGATGGTGCTCGTGTCTTTTGGTGCTGATGTTCCTTTAATGTCTCACACGTCTCTTCAGACAGAGCGGATTGGTATCAGCTGTCCAGCTAATATGTAGATCAACGGTGAAGGATGGGCATCAACGATAACCTTCCTTTCTTATGAAAGTTCCAACTTTAACAACTATTGGTTCTGGGATCGTTTTTCTTTCCCTTAAGGCTGGGACCTAACGTCGATTCAACGTCCGTTGCCATGGACGTATCCGGATAGGCGAGCGTTAAAGATGAGCGTCATCTCGATTTAAAAATGATTTCATTGGTATATGTCCTCGATGCGGCTTACAATTCTGATCGATTTCGTGCACGGACCTCGAAAAATGTCGAGAAACTATCCTCGTTGATAAACTCACGCTATAAACGGACACTTACGCACCCTCTTAACTCTTTGGCTGCTAACAGCGCCTAAAGGCGTCCAACGTTTGGTCCAGTATTGCTTGCACGCTTTGATGAATTTCGCCCTTATGTCGAAAGAGCTCCGCAGATGAAGGGTTAAAGATCGCGCGTTACAATATGAACCGATTGGCCGCGTAAAACGGAAAAGTCGAATCAAACCTGGACCTCGAAAAATGTCGAGAAACTATCCTCGTCGATAAACTCACGCTATAAACGGCCACTTACGCACCCTCTAACCCTTTGGCTGCTAACAGCGCCTGAAGGCGTCCAACGTTTGGTCCAGTATTGCTTGCACGCTTTGATGAATTTCGCCCTTATGTCGAGAGAGCTCCGCAGATGAAGGGTTAAAGATCGCGCGTTACAATTAGAGTTCGAAAATTCTCGGTAACGTTAAATTGGAGAAGGTAACTGTGAAACATACCGTAAGTTACCGGGAACATTGAGAATTTAAGAGAACGTTAATTTTGTTATTTATACTTTAGGTTTCTTCGTTTAAATAACTTTTTTCTTTTCAATCAACTTCAAAGTTCAAGCTAAAGAGTAATAATTACTATTAGAAAATATTGATTACAGGGTCGTATTTACCTCCAGCTAAAAATATTCACGTATGTACAACTTCACGGAAAATTCCATGCGATTTGTTTCAAACGAACTGATATTTCATTCTGCGATGAAGCGAATGGGAGGTTTTGATTGGCTACGGAGAACGTACAACGGAAATTCCCCTCTACGATGTTTCTCTATAGCTAATCGAAACCTCTCGTTCGCTCTGTTGAAAAATTCAAATTCTCATAATTTCTCGATAAAAAAGGCTTTGGAGAAGTTACCGATAAGTTACCGGGAATTTCTCTTCGTTTCTGACGTAACTTACTGGATTTAGAACTCTAGTTACAATATGAACCGATTGGCCGCGTAAAACGGAAAAGTCGAGTCAAAAATCGACCTCTTTGGAAAATGCGAGGGGAAAAGTAGAATATCCCGATCTCTGTAATACCCTTGTATGATTAAGGTGGCTACACGTGTTACAAATCGATGCGATGTGCAATTTATGCAGTTAAATCCAGTTCTATATTTCCACACATCCACACGTTGGTTAAATTCCTACAGGTCGGTTTGCACAGACATATCGCAAGGATTTATCGTTACGTACGCGCAGAAAAATACTCGGTGGAATCAATATATCATTTGTTGGTTTAATCACAGATTATGGTTATTCTATCGGCAACCAAATTTGATTGACACGGCCCAATTCTTTGGGTAATAACATTTGGTCGATTGCCTCAAATATTGTGCCACGGTTAGCTGAAATGTTTCAGCCACTGAATAAAATACTTTCCAAAATCAACGAAACGATTTGCCTGAAACACTTTAGCTGATTACACCACCCGAGTTTAGCCAAGCGAAGTACAATTTCGTTCACAACCAAAATGTTTTCTGAAATTAACCAAATGCAGTCAATTAAACGGTCTTGTTCGGTGACCCAAATTTCCTTTCTGCACGTATACAGCCACCTTACGCGTTAAACACGACGTAAACTTTCCATTTAGGTGGAATCCACATGTCGTTTTCCACATGAAAAACATTTTCCTACCTAAATGGAAAGTACGATGAAATTCACTTCGCCTAATACTGAAGGAGATGCGAAGGTGGTATTTAAAGAATCAATCGTTCATGAAACTTGTCTCCGAACTGAGAATGCCGAATCGTTTCAAACTTTGCAATGTAAATGTGGAGTCTATAAGGAAAGTCCTGACACTTGTGAAATTTCAATTCTTATAACAAATTTTTAAAACGTCTATCAGGAAATTAAAACCAATATACATTTTATAACTAATTCTATTCGTATAGCTAAAAGGAAGAAATAAATACAGCTACTACCGGATCGCGAGATATCTCGTCAAAAGCGTTGATCGGCTACTACCGGGTCGCGAGATATCTCGTCAAAAGCGTTGATCGGCCAGTATCGGGTCGCGAGATATCTCGTCAAAAGCGTTAATCGGCCAGTATTGAGTCGCGAAATATCTCGTCCAAGGTAACGAAAGGGTTAAGGCAGGTCCTAACATCCATGGAATTTAATTTTTTGTACATAATTAAGAATGTCAAGTTGAAAAAAAAATTTTATTTCATGGGTATCCGGATCTTCCTTAACCTTTTCGTTACCTTGGACGAGATATCTCGCGTTAATCCGCTACTACCGGGTCGCGAGAGATCTCGTCAAAAGCGTTGATCGGCCAGTATTGGGTCGCGAGATATCTCGTCCAAGGTAACGAAAGGGTTAACCCTTTTCGGACGTATTAAATTTGGACATGGGTGTCGTACTGGTCGGAATTAATTCCCGTTGAAAGTTGTTGTCGTGCCTGAGAGCAGACATACGACCGGAACAGTAAAAAAAGGCTTTGGTGGCTGAGAGTAGACATACGACAGCAAAGGGTTAAGCCTCTGCTCGATTCGACTCGGGATGGCTCGGCCTGACTCGGGTAGGCTCGGCAAGACTCGGTTCGGTTCGGCTCGGAGCTAATGGATATTAAGCCCCTCACCGGGTGAGCTTTCAGCTCGAAACCGTCTACCAGTCCGTCGTGGTCATTAATCGGCGTGGTCGTTGTTACGGTTATTGGTCGTTTCCGTGGGCGCGATTATCGCGTCCAGAGAAATCGCGATTAATCCCACTCTCAGTGCGAAAAGGCCGACTCGGACGTATCCTTACCGTATCCGTACTGTATCCGTGATGCGTCCGTATACCGATAGAAATAACGCCCCTTTACGCCGTATTGTGTGGTTTTTACACGTTCCTTATCCGCATCCGTATCCGTCTGTCCGTGTAGGTATCAATGCGTCGACAGCATCCAAATCGATATTTTCACTGCACGGACGATAAGACACGGACCCGGCACTATCACGGAAATCGTTCTTTTCTGCTTTTTACTTCTCTTCAAAGCGTCGTTTGTCTTCGATTTCAGATTCGGTTTTTTACCAGGCGCGCGCAAAGATACCATTGAAGCGCCCGAAGTATCGGTGGAATTTAGTTTCATTTATTGACTCTTTGTGTAACGATGGGAATTCGCGTTGAATTTTCCTCTTCGCGTGTTTCAACGACTCCTTCGCGCTTTGTTTGACTGCACAGTATTGTGCACCTAGCACTTATCTATATACTAACTGGATAGCTGACACCTATTTGTTGTGTACGAAGAGGGCTTCGACAAATTCAAGGCACCCTAACGCCACTATACGTGGGGCAGCGATACTAAATAAGTAACTTGTGCGCATGTGCACAAATTTTGAACCGTCAATTCGAGAAGGCAAACGTTTAAGGTATAAAGGGCAGAAGAGACATAATTCACATGTAAAATAGTGCGTTAGGCATATTGTCAGAAAGCTGCTGCTAAAATGAAACGGTTATCTTTTATCTCGCAAGTATTTTAACAAAAATTACAATTATTTCCTTCCAGTAAGTTAATTTGACGCCTCTTATACTGTCTACGGTTGAATGACGAGTTGTTTTAACGCATGCGCAAGTACTACGATGCTAGTTGTTGTGCGCCTAACCAGAGGGCTGTCGCTTCAAAACGTTCCGTCATTTTGTAGGATATCAGCTGTCCAGATTGTACATAGGTCAGTGCCATATAGGAAGAAAAGTAGACATTTGATGTCTCCAGCACAAGGCGAAACGGATGCACTAGCTACGCCTCGTGCTGCAAGCTTCACGCGTGTTTGGTTTTTGCCAAGATGGACACATCATCTGCAAGACCCTTAAGGGGAATTTACACGGTGCCAGTAACTCGTAAGAGTCACTAAAACCCAGTGTTGAAAGCGAGTGCTTTACAAGATAGGAGCGTTTACCCAGCCTTCTAGTACTTGTATAGTAGTAAGCAGAGAGTCATGCACTATACCCCAAAAATGTCGAAGGGGCGACGGAATTTTAAACATTTTACAAACAAAATGATTGAACAGTATTTGAACGTGTTGGGTGAAGAGCTGTGCTCTATTCTCTATTCTTGTACTGTTGTAGTAATTCTAGAGGCATTCTTTCCCTCGATACAATTCAATAAATGTTATCGTGGGCCCTTCTATCCACCTTTGGGCCATTTCCACACATGATTCAACACAAAATTGCAAAAGACTGCTATAATTTGCTCTTGGAACTTGCACACTACCTTCGAAAAACGCATCTACTCATATCTGGTACACAGGACAGTAGAGTACTCCACTCCAGTACTGGAGTGGCAGTTTACCCAAGACGAGTAACACTCGGTTTTAGTGACTCTACTCGTGTCTGGTATACAAGATAGTAGAGTGAAACACGTGGTTACAACACGTGGTTACAACTCGCGCCAGGAAATAGGGTTGCTTTCTACTCCCTCCACTTGCATTGGCACTTGGGCGAGTACTCCACTCCAGCACTGGAATGGCAGTTTACCCAAGACGAGTAACATTCGATTTTAGTGACTCTACTCGTATCTGGTATACAAAACATCTCGAGGAATCGAAGCGAGAGGGAGCCACTTGATTGCCCTTTCTTATTATGTACTGTGTACATGTAATCCTGTATATTTTGTTATACAACTTAAACCTTCAGATCGTATCGATGGGGCATCGCGTTTCTTTAATCCTTGAAGTTGCCGGTCGATTTTCACAATTATAAGTCGGAGCGTTAAGGGTTAAGGTTATATGAAAGTGTCATGCATACGTGCCAAAAAGTTAAAAACTTTATAACACTTTTCTCCAAACTGGGTGCACCGAATCATTTGACACTTCGCCACGAATTTATGGAGGCCCTAAAAAAGAACGCGATACTCGTGGAATTACATTTTTCGAAAAAGAAATTTCTATTCATCTCGGACAAGAACCAAGAAAAAGATATTTTATTTCGAAAAATGTAATTTTACCAGCATCGCGTTCTTCCTTAGGGCCTCCATAGTCACGTGTTAACGTTTCAGATAATTCGGTGCCAGTTTGGAGAAAAGCTTTATAAATATTTCCACGTTTTGATATATATATAGCATGACCCTTTCATATCATCTTAAGGTGACATGAAAGTGACGTCTGAAGGGTCAATCGCTTTTGAAACTTTTCTACAACTTCCCACGTAAATATGGCGTCCCTGATTAAGGGCCCAGTGCCCATGAAATGTCATTACTGATAAATTATAAAGAATGTTTATATTACAAATTTAAAAGGAACGGAATTTAAAGGGTGAACGTTCCACATTCGCGTGGGAAAATTTAAAAAAATTCCCTACATCCCGTCTGGAGATAAGTTTTATAAATGAGACCCCTCGGACGCCACTTCCGGAACAATTTAAACAATTTAAGTCGATTTTCAGCCGCCGATGAGTACTCGGTGTGCTTTGCTCGCTTAGCTTTCTAAAACGCACATGGGACCTGTACACGTCGCAAGTCATGCATTTAATTTATCAACGCGATGTACGTAATTCGACCGAAGTA